TGTGTGTGTGTGTGTGTCTGCGTTCGTGCAAGTGTGAGTGTTTGCGCGTGCGAGTGCGTGCAGGAGTTGTGTTTATATAAACATGATGTTTAAGAGATTTGTTTTAAAGGCATGACCCAACAAGCATTAAAAAATCTTTCTAACTTTCCAATTCTAATACTAAACAATCCATTTTTGAAAACAACCCCATAATACGATGTGCACACGCCTGAGGAAGAAATGTTTTTTATGAATGTGACTTTTGTATCGCATCTTTGAGTGTCCACAATAGATACTTGTTGTACAGCTGAACATTTCAATGCAGGTGTTTTTTACACCGTCATCAACACAATTTAGATCATAATAATATAAGAGTTGGGTTCCGACCCAGCCTGTCAGAGCAAACGTGGGCTGAGAGCGAAGCAAAAAGACCGAGATACTTGACAAAAATTTTGAACTCGTGTCTTCCGCATGCAATTAAATTGAAGATTATTGTGTCAGAAATGCGTGAGGTTCTTTTTCAAAATACTGAGAAATACATAAACTTTCAGCAAATGAGAAATGCAGAGAATTAGTTTTGACATAAACTTTCAACATGAGAAATGCAAAAAATTAGTCTTGAAACCCATACCTTGATACAACGCCTCTCAACCTCAAGGCACAATTTTCTTTCCTTAAATCACGGGCTCGGAACTTCCCTGCCATCCCCAAACCAACAACGACCACACCTATTTCTTGAGCTGGTGGAGACATCCTCTATACTTTCTTGCTTAATCAAAGCTCCTAATCTGTAGATAAAACAAAATCAAGAATTGTAATCAGAACTTGGAGGTACTAAACATTTTGTACGGTCTCCATATTATTCAATCCAGTGGTAAGCTGCTAATATTGCCACATAAAAAAAAATAAAACAAGGAACAGCTACGGGGTCAGAGAATGCCCCAGTTAAGGTGATTGCCGCATAATAATATGTTAGAAACATTAGGCACTGAAATAACAAAAGAGTTATTGAAAAAAAAGCAAAGACAGGGATGAGTTTCCAAAAGGTTTGATTAAGTCAGTCATTATAGTTTCCCAAATCACCAGTTGCCATATAGTGTCAGTTTCATAAAATAATAAGTCTTATGGGACCATTTTGCAAAAATGTAGGTGCAAGTACATATTGTGCCAAAGGAAAAAAATTAGAAGTCTCAGATCAGTGACATCCAAAAAAGTTTAGCTTTGTTCCAGCAAGAGCACCAGTAATGCTATTATTCACCCTAACAATGTTGGTGGAAAGACTTATTGAAGAGCAGAAAGTAATGCGTTCATGCTTTATTAGCAAAGGCTTTTGATAAAGTTAGACACGTTTGAGCTTTTCAAATTTTTGGAGGAGCTGTAGATGGGAAATGATCTAAGGATTATTAGTATTAGAAATGTGTACTGGGACCAAAACGCTGTTGTAAAAATCAAGGGCGTGGACAGCGATTATTAGCAGATTAACAGGTGAGTTACATGAGGATGCATTATGTCACCAGAGTCCTCAACATAATGTATGTTACGTGTAATGTCGATCAATCTTTAAAGATACTGAAGAAAGTCCAAGTTTCAAAGTTAATGGAGAAAAATTAATAACTTCAGATATTATGTCGATGACACAATTATAATTGTCCATTCCAAAAGGGACCTTCAATTGCTTCAAGATACTCCTGTGAAGAAAAGTGAAAGTGAAGGGTTATTGTTCGACTAGACATTACAAAAATGTAGTTTCTTAAGGAGGCTGTTGGGAATTTTATGGAAGGAAAATATATCAGTTAAGATAGCGCTGAAAGAAGCCCATGTGGGCACTCGTTGATTAAAAAAAACAATTGGGAAGAAACGAATGCAGTATCTGGGACATGTACTATGATTTTACATAGCACACTCAATAATGTATAATGTTTGTGAGTGCGATGAGGGGGGGGGGGGGGGTAAGTGTTTTATGGCACTCGTAACTGCATATCGCGAGTCTAGAAGGGAAACTATTCTGACATTTTGCAAATTCTACCGGAGAAGTAAAAAAAACTTTCTCATTTCAACAGAACGCAATTCTAAGATTTGAAACTCACAAGTAGCTTAGAAAAAACAAAAAGAGGCTCCTTTTGTAAATCGTTTTCTAATCAATTTCTTCCATTCTGTTTAAATCAAAGTGTCACTTAGAATTTTTTTTTCTGAAAAAAAGAGGAAAACTAAAGCGGTACTCAGAATATTTTCGTTTGTTTTGAGCACAGCCATTTAAGAAGAAAAGGATTCTAACTTACGCGCTTACAATAGTCAAAGATAACAGGATGGCCCACTCAGCCAAAAAGTGTCCGCCGGAAATCCGCTCTTTGCTTCAGATGGCGCTGCAGTCTGTTTTGAAGCTCTCTTTCGTTTCTCCAGAAGAAGAATAGGAATAGCACCTCCTTGCGTGCGCAGAACGACTGCTGTTCATCAGCTGTCCGGGTTCGTTCAGTGCGGAGTTTTAGGTTGTTTTGAATCTTAATGACCTCTTGCCTCTCATTCTAAAGTCAAATTAAACGAAGAAAACACTCGCCCCTTCCTCCAGAAGAGGTTTTTTGTCAGCGTAACCATTTTTAAAAAGCGTTCTTCCGAAATTTGAATTCTTATTTATTCAAAAACTTGTTAGTTTCACTTTGATATTTTTAAACACAAGTAGGGTAACTCTCAGAACCATTCCGGGTACAGACAGGAGTGCGACAAGGATGCTTGCTCTCACCTTTTCTCTTCATACTGGCAATTGACTGGGTTATGAAAGAAGCCACCAGAGGCAAACGTAATGGAATACAATGGATCCCTTGGCAGCAGCTGGACGACTTGGACTTCGCCGATGACCTTGCACTGCTCTCTCACACACATGCTCAGATGCAAGAAAAGACCAAGGAACTCAACAGCCTATCAAGGAGTGTTGGCCTACCTATACATCCAGGCAAGTCAAAAGTAGGGAAGCTAGGAAAAGTTTCAAACCTTGCTGTGACAGTGGAAGACACTCCCCTTGAAGAAGTGGACTCCTTTACCTACCTTGGAAGTGTCATCGATGGTATGGGTGGAACCGAGGCAGATGTTAAAGCAAGAACCGCCAAGGCAAGGTCAGCCTTCAAGCAATTATCAAAAGTCTGGAGAGCAAGCAACATCTCACTGCGCACCAAGATTCGACTTTTTAACTCCAACGTCAAGTCTGTGCTCCTCTACGGCTGCGAAACTTGGAAGACAACGAAGACAGTACTGAATAAGGTCCAGACTTTCATCAACAGATGTATGAGGAGTATTTTAAGAATTAAGTGGCAGGAAAGAATAAGAAATGAAGAGCTGTGGGAAAGGACAGGACAAAAGGATATAGAAGTAGAAATAGGACTAAGAAAGTGGCGATGGATGGGACACACCTTAAGAAAGCCCAGCGGAAACATCACAAGACAGTCACTGCAGTGGAACCCACAGGGAGCACGAGGCAGGGGTAGGCCACGGGAAACATGGAGGAGATGCGTGGAAAGGGACATGAGATAAATGAAGCTCACTTGAAACGAGCTTGGAAGGATGGCTCAGGACAAAGATAAATGGAAGGAGCTTGTATGTGGCCTATACCCTGCCAGGGGTGAAAGGCATTGATGATGATGAGGGTAACTCTGTTCGCAAAGGGTGCACATTTGCGAAGAGGGCGCCACCGAATTTTAAGGATACTTTTTTAATTGGCTCAAAGAGAGGAGTGGACCCTCTTGTTACGTAGACTCTTTGCAATAGTTTTCTTTATTTTCTATCACCGGTATAATTTTTTTTTAATTGGGAAAAGTATTTCAACTGCTTCAGACTTTTCCTCAAAATATTCTCTCAAGTAGGAGATAGAATAATTTTTCTCTGGGCTGTAACTCAGTCATTTTTAAAGCTACGGCTCTGGTGTTTTAATCCAAGTTGCGTCCCTTGGTGGAAGTTAAGGCCATTGTAAATAAATCTCCGTTTCGGCCAACATGTCACTTGAAATAGTTTCCTCTTGACCCGCGATATAAAGTCATATGAGCGCGTGGGACACATTATAAACATTTTAAGTTTGGTAGGAATAATTTTGAATTTTGCCTGGGTGGCAGCCAAAGCCAACTCTTATTGATTTTTGGACCATAAAGGGATCTTTAACAATATGTGCAACTTGCACAAGGGACCTCCGAGATTTTTTCGGCTTTGTCTAAGAAGGCTAGAAATCTAGGTGTTAAATCTTATCTACCCAACGATCAGAGATGTGGCTGAAAGACAGCAGTAAGAAGGAGCTATGGAAGTAGAAGTAGAAAGGCTTCAAAACGTCAGGACCCCAGAGGAGGGGGCAAGGGGATTGGGGGGGGGGGGGCAGAAAGTGAACACGAAAGCAAACGGCAGAACACGGTTAGAGAGTAGAAAAGGCGGTGACAGGAGAAAATTCTAGAGAAGAAAACTAATTTATCGTTGCTGGCAGGTTTCAAACACTTGACCAACTGATTGAGAGGCGAACACCGTACCTCTAAGTGACGAGAGCCCCCGAATCAAGTGTGGACTGTCATTGTCGGGGACAGAGTTCAGGTTACGCAAACACAAAAACCGCCAATAAACACCTTATTAAGCCTTAAACAAGAAAAGAAAACATTTTCGCATCGCTGTGATTTAAACTTTTACAAGACCAGTCATGGAGATCGATACCTTCTTCATCAATTACTATCAATTAACTTTTTTTAAAAAAAATTTTACAAAATAATATGCCTACTTACCTCTAGCTTTAGGACACAGACAGAGTGCGATAAGTGTGAGGTTTCACGGAGGAAAAGGACGTTCGCACCAGTGCGACCGCAGGCGTGAGAATAATGAGACCCCAAAAAATGCTGTTACGAGATATGCACGTCAATGCACCCCACTTGTCTCTCAATCTTCAAGAAGGAAAAACATTGCCACAGAATACGAATTAAGACAGAGTGTGCATTGTGAAGGTCTAGATGCATATCGATACCATAAACTTGAATATAATAAAGTTGCCGAGAGTGGCAAAGCAAAAAATCCTGCACGTGTGGTAAAATATGTAACCATCAAAGATTGAAACAGATATTTTATGGAATTGTGTAACTACTCGTCAAGACGCAATAGAGAACTCGTCACAGTATTCCAAATGGTCGGAATAAGAGTACGATTCATAAATAGATGAGACAAAAGTACTAAAGGCGTAATCGTTAAGTGGTGACTAAAGGTACCAACTTTGATGCTCTATCTAAAACTTGTTCGAACATTAGCAGCTGTTGACTAGTCATTATATCATGGCTGGTATTATACTTTCGCCTGTCTGTGATAGAAAAATTCTAACTCATTAGTCATTTATTTTACTGCTTTGCAAATGCGCTCATAACTTTGCATGTCACTTCTGTAGGAGCGACTAAACTAAGGGGGCCTATTTTTATCAGCCAATAAAATGACATGTTTTAAAAATTGTTTATCACACTGCTCTTCGTGGTGCATACACAGGAATACAAAAATAATTTTGATTTGCAATAATTTGGTCAACAAGTTGTTCATTTTGAGTCAGCGACATCACCGTGCCCCCATATCTTAGTGTAAGCACGTAGTTGGTTGTTTGTTGTTTTGTGTTGTTTGTTTGTTTGTTTATTTGTTTGTTGTTTTTTGGTGGGGGGGGGGGGGGTCCAAGACGGTGTAGACATCACCAGGCGAGTCTTGAAAAATACTCACCCGTCTGTTGGACCACGTTTCGTAGGCATGTGTTAGTAGTTACAATGTTAAAGTTTATGACGCTTTGACGTTTTAGGTGTATACTGTAAGTTTTTATTATTGGGTTGTTGTTTTTCTTACATTTTTTTACCACTTTTGGCTAGCACAAAAAAAACGTTTGCAAAACCTCAGTTTGCAATGGCCTTCAATAATGCCTAAAACATCCGCGCAAAACGTCCTTAACAACGCTTAAACTAATAATAATATGACTCCTTGTGCGTGACGTGACTGGGGGTGTGACAGGTTTAAAGCACCATCATTGGTCAAATTATCTAGCAAAGGAGTGCCAGCAGAGACACTAAAAATAGAGACTGGAAACGAGGCCTCTTTTCGCGTATCTAGGCCACCAGCTGATCGTGAAACGAGGCGCGGTAAACAAAGCGAATCGCGTCTGCCGTCAGTCGTAAGAGTCGGTGGTGTTGTGCGACAGTTCTACGTACGACGGTGCCAATTCAAGATACTAAAGACTGGACTTAGCATTTTCAGCTTTTCAAAGAACCCTGAAAAGTAAGTATTTACGTGTACTTAGTCGTTAGCGATATTTAAAAGGGTTTTTTTCTCTTGTGTAATAGTGTCAAAAAAATAGTTTTGTAGCCGTGAGCCTTCCCCATAAATCTTAGTCTAGGGTAGATCAAGCAGGCGACAGTGCAGTCCGGTTTGCGGGCCTCGTCAGTGCCAGCGCCGGGGCAGTAGCCTAGGCCTAGGATGAAAAATTAGACAAGCTTTGCTTACAAGCGAATTGTGTGGATTTCAAGTGACCTGTAAGAGATCTCATGCCATTACTTGTATCACCCGCTTTGATATTTCCCCTTTCAGCCATGCAGCGTAGCTTGACCACCAGCTGATCATAAAACGAAGCGCGGTGGGCCTAGACCAAAAGGATGACGTCTGCTGTTGTCAGTGTGTTTATAGTGTCAGTGGGCGTTATGTGACAGTCTAATAGGCCCTAGCTGTGCCAATTCAAGATAGCTCTACAAAAGACTGGACCTAGCATTCTTCAGATTTCCAAAGAACTGAAATGTAAGTATTTAGATCTAGATCTACATTAGGAGGTTACATGTATACATTTCACGTCTTAGGTTGTTTTTTGTTTTTGTTTTTTACTTCAAGTTACTTCAACAGATTCTACAAGTGACAAGTGACATGTTCAGGCATTCTCTCTAGCCCAGATCTAGGATCTATAGTATAATTTAGACTACTAGATCTATTTATTAATCTAGATCTAGATCTAGAATCTAGTCTATAGTCTATAGCATAGAGATCTAGCTAGATCTAGATCTAGCTAAGATTTTAGATCTAATCTAGATCTAGAATCTAGATCTCTAGAAATCTTATCTAGATCTAGAAAATCTAGAACTTCTCTTGTAAATTTTTATTTTGGTATCATTATTTTTCCCTCCAGTCTAGATTCTAGATCTAGATCAATTCTCATCAGGCATTGTAGGCCTAGACCTAGATCTGGATCTACATGCTTTGTCCTTAATTTTTATTGAATTCAGGATTATGGCCTATCTGTGGCAAATTTGAACTGGCCCTAGAAAATCTATATAATATTACAATTTAATAGGCTTATTAATTGCTTGCTGCATAGTACCAATCAGTAAGCCTAGGCCTACTTAAAATTTGGAGTGTTTTCAGAAACACCATCCCCCATATTAGCCTTGGAAGTGGTTTAGGGTTTATGGGGTTGTAAAAAAAAAAAAGAGATTTATTGATGTTTTTATTCGGACTATATTTCAATAGAGGCAACAATTCATAGATATTTCGCATGTTTTTAAACATGAGTGGGGGGTGTTCAAGGAGCGGGGGGCATATGATGCTCTCCTGTAGAGATGCCCTCCTGTATTTCAATTTCACCATATGATTTGATGTTTCGCTATTTAAGGTTTGAGATTTTCTTGAAAACAACTGATTAGTAACTGTTTTAGCGACCATATCATGTCACATGTGTATTCTGCAACCAAAGATATGGCAGTTAAGCCCCTAAAACCAGTGGATCTGCACGCAGATGTTAAAGTTTTAAACGCATTTTTCACACGTCTCTCATCAGTGCCAAGTGTCAGTGGTGTTCTGAGAAAGTTTGCGTACAACTGTGCCAATTCAAGAAAAGACTGGACATAGCATATTCTTCAGATTTCCAAAGGACCCTGAAATGTAAGTATTTACATGAACTAAATTACTCGTCTGTATTATATAAATTTAAAAGCATTTTTCTCATGACAGTGCAGAGATGCCAACCTGAGATTTTCAGGGAGATGAGCCAAAAATTTTAGGGAAAAATGGAAAAAAAAAAGGAATTGTAATCTCTCAAGTATTAAAAGTACAATGTAGGCCTACTAAAAAGTCTTTCTTTTCTCCGCAACAATAAATTGGAGGGTCACAAGGTCATAATAAAAACGAAATCTCGGCTTTTAAATTTAAACACTTCTTGATAATGTATACACGTATAACTTGTTGAAGGTTCTATATAAAACAAGAATCCATTTCTTTCATTTAGAAGGTGCTTGTGAAAGCTGCTAGGCTTGCACCTTTCCCAGCCAATTTTGACAATCTAGGCTATATTTATTGTATTGATGTGTATTGAAATTCCAGGTCTCAAATGGCCTGGGGAAAAGGGGAAAACAACCCCGTTTACTGCTTTTACATATTTGAATTTTTTTGGTTGCTTCCCTTGATGTGCTATCATTGGTGACAGCCTTTGCTCCAACCTCTTCTCTGTAAATTACAACATTGACAACAATGCAGTTGAGTTAGCTTGTCTCGTCAGTGCTGAAGCAGGGACAGCCTAGGAGAACAAAAGGTTTACACCTTATCAAAATATGAATTTCAAGTGACCTGAAGAAATTCCATTTGTATCATATATGGTATTGGTTTTCCCTTACAGCCTCACAGCTAGACCACCAACTGATCGTGGAATAAAGAGGATGGCGCCTGTCGTCAGTGTCAAATGTCAGTGGTGTTCTGCATGTAACTGTTCCAATTCAAGAAACAAAAAACCGGGCCTAGCATTCTTCAGATTTCCAAGGGACCTTGAAATGTAAGTGTATTTTCATGTACTTAGCCTTTGCGTGTATTTTTTTCCACAGCATTTTTCTCTTGAGTCCAAAGAGTAGCCTCCACCCCTAGGCCTACCTGTACTCCTTCAATCACAACACAGACAACAGCGTAGTCGAGTTAGCTTGTCTTGTCAGTGCTAATGCAGGGGCAGGAGGATGAAATATTGGACGAAATTTAAACCTTACTGCGAATGTAGGCTTATATATTGGATTTCAAGTGATCTGGAAGAAAATTGATTTCTCCTTTCATCCTTCAGTTTGAACTCGGGCCATGAAAATTTGCTTCCGTTTTTAATAAACGTATCATCATAGTACTGGCGGGGAAAGGGTGGGGGAGGGGGTGTCGACCCCCCCCCCCCCAACTTGCTACACTTTCCCATATGTAGACCCCCAGGAAAGTGTTTGTTATAAGTTTGTATTGAGTTCCTCCCCTCCCAAGGAACTGATTAGGAATGGTAGTGACGCATTGAGTCTTTTTTTAAAACTAAAAGTTATCATTGTAATTAGTTAAAAACTGTCAAATAGGCAACGCAAAAATCAGGTTTAGTCTAATATATGAAAACTATGTTACAGCATCCTAGATCAAATTGATTGTTCACCCACAAAAAAGATTAAAAAATTTTTTTTTTTAATGCTTTCTGTCTTATCTTAATTTTTTCCCAAAAAAATTGGGATGAGTTTGTCATGACTATACTATATGAAAAATTCTCAGTTCTCGCTCAAAACCCAATCAAGCACTTTTCTCTATTTTGTAATAAAACTAAATGATTAGGCCTAAATGAGTATGTGATTTGTGAACATGGGCCACAACGAGGTAAGCTATTATTGTGAGCACTGGTCTATAATATACCGTACAAGTTAAGTTTTTAGCTTTTTTACGACATTCATCGTTTCTTTCAGATGTCGAAAATGGGTTATAAATTGTCGGAGGGCTGACCTTGATGGCAAGTCACCTACTGAACTACACAATGGAAATGTGTTGTGTGCTGAACATTTTGAGCCAAACTGCGTTAGAAAATTTGTATCTCGGACAACTTTAGTAAACAATGCGGTGCCCACAATATTTAACATTTCAAACCCTCCAAAACGGCTCGTTCCTTCCAGGCCAGCTCCAAAGGACAGGTCATGTGCAAGCTCTTGTATTGATATTACAACAGAATATGATGAAGAACAAACTGAAGACCCAACTGAAGACAACAATGCTGGGGACCTACATGACAAAATCAAGCGTCTTCAGTCAGAAGTGAGAGTTCTGAAGAAAAAGTTGAGAGCGGAGAGAACAAAGACTTGGCGTTTGAAAAGAAAATGTCCCACATCCCAGAAGAGCAAACAGTCAAAGAAAGAGCAAAACTTAAATGAAGTAGAAAATGTATTAGGTAACTCCCTGTCAGGACCCGCCTTGGAATTTGTGATGTCTCAGATTCGTGCCTCAAATTTATGTGCGCGACAGAGAAGGTGGTCGTATCAGGACAAGAGTCTCGCTTTGGCCATTTATCACTGTTCCAGAAAAGCCTACAAGCTCTTTCAAAAAATTTTTAAATTGCCATCTACTAGGACCCTTACTCATGCCATGCAGAACCTCTATATCAGACCTGGAGAGTGTAACAACTTATTGAATCTTTTTCAGTATAAAGTGAAGGCTATGTCTGCCTTAGAAAAAGAGTGTGTTATCACTTTTGATGAAATGTCCCTGAAATCCGCACTGAAATATAACCCCCAAGACGACGAAGTTGAAGGGTTTGAAGACTTTGGCCACCTAGGAAGATCAAAAGTTATGGCGACTCACGCTCTGGTATTCATGGTTAGGGGAATGACAGACAAGTGGAAACAGCCATTATCCTATGCACTATCAAATGGACCCATTAAAGCCTGTATGCTGGAACCCCTCCTCCACCAGGCCATTAGAAATCTTTTTGCCATAGGCCTTCGACCAAGGATCATCATTTGCGATCAGGGGAGCAATAACCGGTCACTCTTCATTCGTCTAGGTGTCACTGAAAGACGTCCTTTTTTTACCCTTGACGATCACAAAATTTTTGCAATGTATGATCCCCCTCATCTTTTAAAAAGTATTAGGAATAATCTTAAAAACCATGGCTTTTTACTAGATGGGCAGCCTGTTTTGTGGGACTATGTTGCAAAGTTCTATGAGCACGACTCGGGTCTTCCTATCAGAATGGCCCCAAAATTGTCACAACGACATATAACAATGCCAGCATTCAGCCATCTCAAAGTTTGTCTTGCCGCCCAGGTGCTCAGCCATACGGTAGCTGCAGGAATCACCACTATGGTGACACTCGGTGCAATGCCAGCGGAGGCAATGCCCACGGCGATTTTTATAGAGAATTTCGATCAAATTTTCAACGTTTTCAATAGCCGAAACATAAAAAGCAAGAATGCCATGGGCCATGCCATCACACTGTCCTCAAACCATGTGGATTTCCTACAAGAGAGGCTCAAGTGGTTGGAAAGAATTAGGTGCAACAACGCTAGTGGCAGTCTGCCATGCCTGAATGGATGGAAACTAGCCGTCAGCTGTTTGCTACAACTGTGGGATGACATTAAAGACCAGGGCATCAGCTTCCTCCTTACCAGTAGGCTTAACCAAGACTGCCTAGAGAATTTGTTTTCCGTCGTTAGAGGTAAGGGGGGTCACAGATTTAACCCTGAACCCTCTGAGTTTCGAACAGCTTTGTGTCAGACCATGGTTGAGTCGATTATGGTTGCAAGTGAACGCCAAAACTGCAAAGAGGATCTCGACAGGTTCCTGTTTACCTTGGAGAACATTCGTGCATGCACGACTGTCCGACCCAAGCGCCATGACGATGTACCACATTTAATTAGAAACCTTGTTTTGTCCCCTCAAGTCGCATCACTCACCAGGGCAGAGCAAAACATCATTGTTTATATAGCAGGCTACATAGTTCACAAACTCACCCCAGTGCTTTGCCCCTCCTGTTCAAACCTCATAACCGGTGAGAAAGATGTTTCATCCCTGCAACATGTTTTTCTGAATGCAAAAAACTTCTGCGCCAGCGGCGGCCTGAAAGCACCGAGCTCCATACTCCTTGCCACATGTAAGGATTTAGAGTCAAAATTTCAATATGTAGCTCCTGCTGCTTTGCATGTTACTGGCATACGGAGAATGATAATCAGACAGCTGACGTCACATGGCACTGGGCTCCAGCTGAGATGTGCAGAAAGTAAATGTGACCTCAGAAGTTCTGTCATGAACCTTTACACGAACCTGAGACTTCACCACTACATAAAAATGAGAAACAGAGACAGCACTGATACATGCAGCAAAGCAGTCAAGAGAAAGGCTGTCACATTCAGTCACTTGTAATGAGCCACCCCACCACCCCTTACTCACTGAAACATGAAAGACACGGATGTATTGCTGGTTAGTTTGTTGTTATTCTGTCATTGCATTTCGTTTACATAGTTCAAGTTCAAGTATTTTTATTCACACAACTTTTCAATTTCTAGATTCCTGATCAGGTCCAGATCTAGATCTAGATCTAGATCTAGATTAGATCTAAATCTAGATCTAGATCTATATATCTAGATCTAGATCTATATATCTAGATCTAGAAATCTAGTTTTGTTTCTTTTCAATTGCTGGTGAGTTTAGTTTGTTGATCTGTCATTGACACCGTTGACACCCATTGTAGTTCAAGTTCAAGAGTTTTTATTCACACAACTGTTTTCAATTTCTAGCCTAGATCTAAAGTCTAGATATAGATCTAGATATCTAGATCTAGATCTAGTTGGGTTTTTTTCAATATACAACATTGCATCAGCATTAATTATAGGCTACCCACTTATCTTCTCCCCAGTCTTTTTCTTTCCTTTCCTCCCCGCTGTCTTCCCAACCACGGATCCTAAGTCCATCGCTAACAAGATCTAGACTCTAGATCTAGATAGATCTAGGCCTATTAATTTTAGCATTAACTTGTATTACTGACATGGCTTATAGATCTAGATCTAGTCTAGTCTAGATTCTAGATCTAGAATCTAGATCTAATATATCTAAATCTAGAAGAATAGGCCCCTACCTTTTCCTTTGGCAAGAAAAATAATCTTAAAAAGTTGTCGAGCTACATAAGGATATCAAGGCACTTTTTTTCTTTTTATTGTTAAATCTGCACGTTATTTCTTGATTGCACTTACCTGGTGTAGATCTAGCCTTATCTGAAGACAATTAAGAATGTAGAATGCAGAGGCATTGTCTGGAACCACGACCTGCTCCCTGCTATAGAAAGCTTCGCACTTCGCTCGCAAGGCCTAGGCCTAGGCTCAGCCACAGAATTCTACACTTAAGTGTAGAATTCTGTGGGCTCAGCCAAGTCCCGCTTGGCCCCCGTACCGCGCCTGGTTATTTTTAGCTCGCGTCTCAGCGATCACGCTCGCAAATGCACTGTTGTCACGGACCGCAAGGCCTCGTTTCCAGTCTGGTGCCAGTCAGCACGCCACGTGATGGTGTCGCGCAAAAGGAGACACACCTCGCGCGACTCGTCGCTAGCGTCTGCCGAGCGCGACGCGACATCGCGTCGCGCATTAGGAGATATACTGCTCTTACAGCAAACTACACAGTGGCCCGACGGGCGAGCTTGCTGGATTCAGCATGGAAGATGAACAAGGACACTAAAACAATTGTACTTGCGCTTTTCAGTTTTAGGGATCGCCAAGTGTTCTTTTTACAAATGACTCTCGGTTCTGTATGGTACCTGCTGGTGGAAGTAGAGTATCAAAGTTTCAACGTGGTG